ATGGGAGGTTATTAGTACCAGATCAGGTGGAGGAAAAGAATGATAAACCAGTGGGGAAGCAGATTCGTTAGGAGATGTCTGGTACACTACACGGTTTCCCCTAAAGATTTCATTTATACCCAATTTGGTATGTCCGTTTCAGTTGCTGTAAGAACACCGTGACCTGGGTGGCTTAAAAACAACAGACATTTACTTCTTACAGCTCTGGAACCTGGGAAGTTCAAGATCAAGACACTGGTAGATTCCGTGTCTAATGAAGACCCACTTTCTGGTTCATAAAAGGAGCCTTCTTAGTGCATGGTTAAAACTAGCCAGATCTCCAAAGTTGTGTTTTTGTTCTAAATTAGGACACTACTCCCATTCATGAGGGTCCCACCCTTCTGACCTAATTACTTCCTAAAGAACCCACTTCTAATGCCATCATTTCAGAGGAAATTTCAATGTACGAATTTTGGGGGGGTGACATAAACATTTAAGCCATGGCAACATGCAAAGGTGGAAGAGGCCAACATGGCCCCTAGATCGCCAACTGAGGCATCTGGGTAGAGTATGACAATATCATAAGCTACGTGGGAAATACAGAAGGAGAAGCACATGCAGTAACAAGAGGTGGCACGAAAGCCTTGTCAACGCAGTATCAATGGCATGATCTCTTAGGGGGCTCCAGAGTGGCTTGAGTCATTAGTACAGAAGGTGGTCCAAAACAATTAAAAATATTTTTAAAGGAAACAAAAAAAAATATGTTTGCATGGAACTGAAATACTGACTCTGAGGCTTCTACTCACTGGTCTTCTTCCACTAGCAACTCAGAATAAATCTAATTTGGAGAGTCCTTGAAACTGAGTTCCCACACAAATACCTCTGAGCCAAGTGTTTACACATCTAATCCCCATTAACTCCCATTATCATTTTTCTTCATTTTTGTGGACCCACAATTTGGTGATGATTCTTTCACACCCTAATTGTTTCATTTTCCAATTAGTTCTTCTTGATGGTCTTCACAATTAAAAAGCAAGCCTTTATAGGTATCAAGAAAGCTGAAGCCGGGTGCGGTGGCACATGCCTGTCATCCTAGGGGCTCAGGAGCCTCAGGCAGGAGCATCACAAGTTCAAAGCCAGCCTCAGCAATGGTGAGGCACTAAGCAACTCAATGAGACCCTGTCTGTAAATAAAATACAAAATAAGGCTGGGGATGCACCTCAGTGGTTGATTGACCCTGAATTAAATCTCTGGTACCAAAAAAAAAAAAAAAAGGAAAGAAAAGAAAAGAAAAAGAAAGCTGACTATTGAGAAACTCAATAATCAAAGTCATTATCCCCTCTGTAGCCAGGTTACTGACTTCCCTTTTAATGAGCCTTAAACAATCAAAGGAACACACACAAAAAAACAAAACCATTATGTCCATCTTCATTGAATTGTAGGGTGTTTCCCCCTCCTTTGGTTTTCTAGCAAAGATTTCTCTTAAGTTTTTTATTCATGTCCAGAAGTCTGTGTCTCACTGACTCAAAAATACCATTAGTGCAATTTTTTTTTTTCTTACAAAACAGCACAGTGCTCAAGGCACCAATTATCCTTCTATCCTTAACAGTGTTTTTACTGTACTCGTTTCTGGACTAGCACAAAACCAACAGTTAAAGATCTGACCTTTAGAACCTTCTCAGATCTATGGATCACTCCAAGTTTAAAGGCCCAAGGTTGCTGTCTCGATGGGAGGAGGCCACCCATCATCTTGAAGGAATGGATTACATTTCTCAAAAACACCTGATTCCTAGTGCTGCTTCTTTTGTTGTTCTTGGGACAAAGATTATTTTGTGGCACTAAAATTAATACAGGAGTAAACATTTGCAAAATGAAGAAAAAGATAAAAGAAATATTTCCAACTGACTATAACCCCATCACCATGAGAAATAGCTACCACTTTTTATTGCATTTTCTTCCTGAATCTCTTCTAAGAATTTATTTTCACAGTTAAGACCCAGACGTATTTTTTGTTGATGTTTCCTGTTTTTAACCTCATATGGCACCATATGTATTTTTACATGTCACTTAAAGTTCTTTTTCAACATTATTTTTTAATCCTTATAACATAATCCCCCATATGAATTATTTCAAATTCTAGCTTAATAATTTCCAAATTTCTGGTCATTTAGTTGGTTTCCAGAGTTTGGGTTGTCACAAATAATGCTGTAGCAAAAATCTTAGTGCATGAAGCTTTAACTACATTTTGAATGCAAGTTTTGTATTCCCAGGTATAGAATTTGTGATATAGAAGAAATATATTTTTTAAAGCACAAAGAAATTTCTATTCTTTTTTTTTTCTACTCATTTTTACTAAGCTGAGACCATACTATACATATGTACCTGTTCAGTATTTTTTTTTAATGTCCCTTTGCAGCAATACTTTATTTTTTTTTTTACATTCATGTTTCCAAAGTGTTGGAAATTTTATTTTTGATGACCTTTTTTTCTGGTACCAGGGATTAAACCAGGGGTGCTTAATCCAGGGAGCTACATCACCACTGACTTTTTAAACATATATATTTTTTTATTTTGAGACAGGGTCTCACTGAGTTGCTTAGGGCTTCTCTAAGTTGCTAAGCCTGGCTTTGAACATGAGATCCTACTGCCTCAGCCTCCAAGTCACTGGGATTACAGGAGTGCACCACCACGTTGCACCACCACGTTGCACTTTCGATGACATTTTTTTTTAAATCTATGTGTATAAATCAATTGCATCTTTATTCTTTCCATGGGATAAGAAAGGTAAAAGACTTTTGTGAAAGTTTCTGAACACACACGTAGAATCCTATTGCATTATTGTTTAATTTAGCTTCTATGATCACAAAAGACATTGGACATTTTCATGGCTTTTTGATGCATCCTTTCCCATTTTGATTTTAATTTTCCTTTAATTAAGGTATGGTATCTAGATGGTGGAGGACATGGAACATTCTAGGTCTTTTTAACAGCTACATTGTTATCCCTTCCTATGGATTCGGTGAAATTGATTCAGCCATGCTTCTGTAGGTTGACATATGTTTCTAGTTTTGGATACTCAAGCACTGCTGGAAGCCTTCCTGTTTGAGTCATGCTAGGAAAGATTTTCCCCTTCGAGGTCATATAACTATTCTCCAATACATTCTTTTAGCATAGAAATTTAATTTCATATTTGCATTTTTGGAATTTACATTTCTGTACACTTAAGAGATCTACTTTTGTATTCCTTTCAATAGTTATCTAACGATCACTACATAACTTATTCAATAATCCGTTCTTTCCCCAAAGTTTATTATGTCTACATTTGCACATACACTTGTATCTTTTAATAAGCTCTTTGTTCTTATTCACTAATCCCATCGTGTATACTTCACATCCCTTATATCATAAACTTGTAGTACACTTATAATGCAACAGGACAAGTCTTGATGCAAATGTCCTTTATTTCAAAATGTTTTGCTGAAATCCATCAATGAATGCTAAAGTTACTAGTTGAAAGCTTAAACAGAAATAGGATATTTGTAGAGTTGTGTGCAAATATTTAGCAATTAAAAAAAGATAATAGTAAGTTTACAGTGGAGGGATCTGACAGATTGCACTTAACCTGAGTGGTCAAGGTTGACATCACCAGAAACACATGTCAACATCGTTCTTATATGATGCACTGAGGACGGAGCACCTCTGAAGCATCCTTCCCTGTAATGCATAAGCTCCATCTAATTACAAGAAAATGTCAAGACAAACCAAAGCCAGGACTCTATGAAAATATCAAGAGTATGGAAGAGAAGGAAAGAGCAAGGAATTGTCACAGATTGGAGGAGGCCATGGAAATATGACAGCTACAAGCGATGGAATCCCAAAACTCATTATAAGTAGGAAAGCCAGTGAAATCAGATCATCTGCCCCATGCTTCTCTCCTAGCTTCTAGTGATCACCAGCGAGGACCTTCAGGGTCCTTGCTTTTGGACACATGGTTCCAATCTCTGCCTCTGTCTTCACCAGGTATCCTCCCTGTGTGGCAGTGTCTTTTAAGGACACCATCATTGCATTTAGGGCTCACCTTAATCTACTATGATCTCATCTCCATTAGAACTCAATTCTATCTGCAAAGACCCTCTTTCCAAATAAGGTTACATTCTGAGGTTCCAAGAGGACCCAAATGGTGGGGGGGTTGCTGTTCCACCCACAGCACAGGAGTTTTATTTTCTTAGCTACAGTAGGGGCAGCACCCAGGAGACTATCTGCACCAGGTTCATGTTTAGAAAGTATTTGCCTAATATTAAACCAATTGGATTTTTTTTACTCAATAATTAACTGGAGCTGAGGACTGAGTATTTCCTCTGCAGATCTCCTTCAAGGGCTTGCACTTAGGCATGTCATAGACTGGGCCTTAGAGGATTAGAGATTTAGGATCCTTGACTGCTCACTTTTTTTCCTGCTGAAATGGGGAGAAAGAATGAGGGTCAGTGGAGTGGAGGGGGGATGCACTGGAAAACTCAGGAAGGACTGGGCGAGCCATAGCCAGTGGGCCAGATCAGATCCCAGCTCTGCTATTAACTCACTGGGGTTCCCACCCACCTCAGTTTCTCCATCTGTAAGATGGGGATAATTACAGTGCCTATCGCTTTGTTGTGACGATTTAAGAAATGGATGTGCATAAAATACATAACCTAAAGATCCAGAGCACATGGCTATAAAACAGATATTCTTTTCCATCGCCTTGGTGCACAAGGCTAAATGTTCTTAACCTCTGGCCTGCAGGAATACAATCAATTTTGCTTTCTTATCAGACTTGGAGACAATCTCAGGAACTTAAACCAACATTTACATTTTAAATGAGAACCACACCAGCCTCCTTCCTTGTAATCAACTCCAGATGAGAAAGGGATTTTAGTTTTTAAGCTAAATATATAATCATAATACAATCATATTTTAATTACTCTAGGGAATGGATTTTATTTCATGAAACCAGAGAGTGAATCTCTTGCATAATGCATTTGTACCTCCAGCTTGAGATCGCTCCCTATTAGGTTTTCCAATACTTCACTCTTTTCCTTCTTTCTCCCACTTTGCCAGTTATTAGCCTTAGAAACAATTTGGTGGTGGCTGAAAGAAAAAAAAAAAGAATGATATTTGAGTACTAGGAATTCTCTTAAACAGTTGGCTAACATTTTTCATTTGATGCAATAAAATGTGCCTTATTACTCTCATTTTACAAATGAACAAACCAAGACTTAAAGATGCTTTAAAAGAAATAACTTGCCCAAAGTTATCCAAATATTATGTGAAGAAGTCATTATTTGAAAGAGCTGGTCTGGCTCAAAAAGCTGCTATATTTCTTATATAGTACAATGTCCAAAAATTATGACTTAATATGTGTAATCACACACACTCACACACACAAACACACGAATGCACCCATGCTCAGGTTGCACTCCTGAGCTCAACTCACAAACATGCCTTTTTGCTCTAGTGCATTGGTTCATTTGAGTACAGCATTTTGCTATTAAACTGTCTTTGCAAGTTGCCTTATGTTTGAATAAAGATAAGAAAACACAGGAAAGATTAGAATAGCCTAACATTGGCAATATTCACTTTGCAAAGAAGGTGATACTCATTTGGGATTAGCACTTTTTCTCAAGGCCAAACTAAGCTATGCTCCATGTTCCAAGAACCTTATCACATAAGCAGATTAACTTTAATAGGGCACATTGGCACACACTGTTATTATTATGCAAATGCATTTTGAATAACCACTTTAAAAGGAAACAGTCTAATTTTCTTTTCTCTATACTTCTTAATTTTCTCTGTGCTCTAAACAAATGAGTTAATATTGAATCTATGAAGAAACCAGAAAGAATAGAAAACTTAGAACCATGCCTTTCAATTAGAAGCACTAAATTATGTGGCCAAAAATAGGTAAAAATTAATAATAATGATAATAATAATAATAATAATAATAATAATAATAATAAATTAATAGCTAAAGTCTTGCAAGGATGGGGTAGCTGTCTAAATGTGCAAAAGTTGCTTATATTTATTCCCTGAGGTCTGCCAAAAGGGCAAAAAGAGATAGTAGGAGAGCCTTACAAGGATTCATAATTCTCATATACATACATGAGTACATTGAGAGAAAGCCGGCTCAGTAATTCAATGACATCTGCTTCAAGTTAGATGAACATCAACACCTCACTCCTCCCTCCACACAAAAGTATATATGCATATGTGTACATATACATATATATGTATATATATATGAGATATATATTTGTATTTAATGTAACCACAAATATAATGAACACGTCTCTGTTCAAGAATGAAATAGACTGCCTTGCTAAATTGTCAAGCTCTTTCATTGAAGGTGGCCATAGCAACTGGTTAAAAATGACCAAAAGTTGTTAAAATCCTCTCTGAAGTTTCTTCTACCTCTAAGGTTCCATAACTCTCACACCTGTGGGCACACGGTCATCTACACCAGTGTGTACTTTATTCCTTCCACTTTCAACATCAGCCAGTTTCGACTTGGGATTGATCCCCTCCCCTATCTACTTTCTAGATCAGGGGCCAACAGGTATCTAAGGCCACAGGCCAAATCAAGACAGTCACCACTTTTAGTATAGCCCAAGTAGGGTTTTGACATTTTCAAATGGTCAGAGAATTTTAAAAAATAATATTTCATGATGTGCAAAAAAATTATATGAAATTCGGTGTCCAGTATCCATAAAGGTTTATTGGAACCCAGCCATACTCGTTGGCTTATGTATGGTCCAAGACTGCTTTGGTGTAGGACCGAAGCACTGAAAAGTTGAAATAGGTCCTGTTCATCTGAAAAGCTGAACGTACTAACTCCTGCTTTAAATGTAAACCTGTGAGTACTGGATTTGTGGTGTGCATTGTTTATCATTGTTGCTCCAATATTTGGTACCCAGTAGCTTCAATGTTGTGGTCATTGAATGGAAATAAATGAAAGATGATCATGCTCAGAACTGATAAAAGGTCATTAAAACTGTCTATTTTGCAATTATTTTAATCTTCCAGAGACCACTAAGAACTAAAAAAAAGCAGAGGTATATCACCTGCAACCAGGGCTAATCTTGAGGTGTAGTGTATCTGCATAACACAATGCCTTGTTTTTATTCTGATTGGCCTGGATCATACTTTATGGGTCATTAATAATTTTTAGAAATCACCATTAGGCACACTAAGATTATTCCCTTAAAAACTAATGACTTCTAGAGACCTTGCTGAATTCCCAAAATACCTTAGGAAACTTTGTCTTTTCTTACCTTAATCACTTGGCAAATTGAATTCTCCCTGGAGGAGTAATTGTAGGGCATTATTCTCTCCTTTCAACACTGAGAGAAAGCCAGCTCAGCAATTCAAGGACATTTGCTTCAGGTTAGACGAACATCAACACCTCGATCCTCCCTCCACACAAAGAGAACATTAATACACTGAGTCACATTCAACAAAAAGTTTCCCAAACATTTCATCCACAACTTTTTTTTTGGAAACTCATTTTAGAACGCTGAAGTCTGTTAAAAGGTTCTCGCCTGGAATCTCATGCCCCCACCCCCTTCTTTTAGTTATTAGCCGCACAGTACTAATTATCCGGATGGTGTGTTTGCAGCAAAAAGTTCTCCAAGTTGCCTCCCCAGTTTGAAGCTGTCAGGAGAAGAACTGAAGCCTTGCATTTCCTCCCACAGCTTGGTGCTCTAATTAAAGCAATAAATACAGATCCCTGGGAGGGAGAAGTAGGCAGCCAGGAAAGATCTCTTCCGATCCGTTACTCTCACAATGCAATTCTGTAGGATTTCAATTCCAATTCACCAAGGACAGAGGAAGAGCCTGTGCTCCCAAGAGAGAGGAAAGAAATGAGGTAGCTGATGGGTAGAGGAGCCAGCACATGGGATGTCCTCCAAGGGCCAGGGGCAGATGTCTTAGTAGGTTTCTCATTGCACGTTAACCGTCACCAGCCTGATAGGATTCAGAAGGACAGAAATCTCAATGATCATGTGGGTCATGATTTGTGGAATGAACCACATGCTTTGATTTATGCATTGGTTTGATAATTATTGTGGTTTGAAGAAAAAGAAGAAAATGGTTCAAGTTTATCCAAAGGTTTTCAACGATCGTTAAAAATGAGTTTAGCCGTGGAGAATAATACAAAGAAGAAAATTCTTGTGTTACCTTAGATCTTGAACCAAGATATGACTATCATTATAAAGAGAATGTAACTTCATATACAATATTTGTATAATGTCTTCAAGAAACAAGAAGAGAAAAAAAAAGCCCTTAAAGTCGCTTAATGAGACTACAATTACCAAGTTGCCCAAAGATGTTATAAGAAAAGAAAACAACAGGTCTTGAGGAACACGGATGCGATCGCTTTTTACAAAGTAGCTGTTGATGAAATCAAAATATAAGTTAAATCAAATAACTTTACGTGATAAAATGCCATAGGCTGTTCACTATTTAAAGAGTCAAATATCTTTTAAGTAAATAATAGCCTTCTATACTTACCCTACCTATCTACCACTTCTGTACTGTTCAATTCTTCCTTTAGCTACAGGTTTTCAATTTGTGTCATTGTACTTACACCCAAAGAGTTTTCCTTAACATGTCTTATACATGTCCAGGGACACTGCATTCTCTCATCTTTTATTTATCAGAACACGTTTTTATGTCACCTTCATTTTCAAAATACCTCTCCACTAGATATGGAATTCAGTATTGATGGTTCTTTTTTTTTTCTCATCAAGGGTATCATTCCATTGTACTGGTTCTGGAAAGACTTGGAGACGATTCTTACTGCTCCTCCTTGTGTGATCAATCTTCCCCTCGCTCTCCTCTCCTTGAGTCTTCTTTTTTTTTTCATTCTTCTTTTAGGATTTGTCTCTGGTTTCTCATGGTATAAATATGCTGTGCATGTGTGAGGTTTTCAGGGTGCCTATTCTACTGGGGATTTGCTAGTTTGTAATATTTATGGTTTGCCATTTTCATCAAGTTTAACATTTTTCTTATGTCATTTGGGGATTTTTATGCTGCGGCATTCTTTTTCTGGGACTCTGATTACATGTACATGATACTGCCTGATATTTCCCCTGCAGGGGGGTGATGTTCTGCTCAGTTTTGATTTCAGTCTTCCCTCTGTGCTTGAAGTCCAGCATTTTAAAAATCAAACAGTCAGGGCTGGGGATGTGGCTCAAGTGGTAGCGCGCTCGCCTGGCATGCGTGAGGCCCGGGTTCGATCCTCAGCACCACATACCAACAAAGATGTTGTGTCTGCCGAGAACTGAAAAATAAATATTAAAAATTCTCTCACTCTCTCAAAAAGAAAAAAAAATCAAACAGTCAGTTCTCTGGTCTTTGCTACAGTGTTCACTCTGCTATTTCTGATGTATTTTATTAATTTACTCACTTGATATTTGTTCTGAATATAATAGATTTAGATATCTGCTAGGGTTCATCTAACCTTTTCCACACTCAGGATGGCACAGTCTCATGGTTCTCATAAGAACTGTAAAAGGTAACAGGAGAAGTCAACCATTATCCCTGCCATTGGAAGTGTACCCAGGGACCCTGGAAACACAACTATTGGTAGAAATCACTTAAGTGTTTATTGAGGGCTTAGTAGGTGCCAGGCGCTGTGCTTGACAATCAAATAAAAAAAAAGAACAAATAAAATATAATTTCTGTGCAAAAGAACATACAAACTCACCAGGAGAAAAAAAAGGCAGGTAAATGCATTATAACATGCAGTGTTTTTTGATGCACAGGACATAGAATGTATTATGAATATTATAATCAGCTACTTCAAATTCTCAATGTTAAGCAGGTACGAGTTTTCACATCAAATAACCATCAGGAAAGTATAGTTCCTGGCTATCGGAACCTCTCTTCTTCCTCCTTCCAGGACTTAAAGCCTTGTGAGGGCAGGAGCTTAACTGCTCTGTGGTACCAAGCACAGGAGTCAGAAAACAATAGATGCATGAGTAATTTTCATTCTTAGGAGTAGAACTAAACTTGAGGTAAAATTGCTTACTACTAGGAAAGAAAGGAATGGAAACTTACTGAGGACTTGGACTCAAATAGACAAGGATACAACAACACTTAGCAGTTGAGTGAACAAAACAGAACACTTAACTCCAAGAGGTCCTGAGCAAAAGTAACAGCACTTTGACCTTTTCCCAGACTGCAGAGTGTATTACTAAGATGAAACACTCTACTGTCAAAGGCAAAGCCCCACATTTCAGTGCATTATCATTACAAGCTTATTTTCTCTCCCATGATAGTCCAAAAAAGCAAGCTGCTCTTCTCCAACCGAGACAGAGACATAGAAAGCCAGGTTCCTTTCTTCACAGATATTATCATCTGCAACCCACAGTTCATAAGTGACCACTTGTGAAGAATTTTTATGGGCATGGCTCTCTGCCTGTATTCCACTGTGTAGATCTTTAGTCACATGTTCACATATCTAGTGCATTTCATAGTTAAGTGTTTTATACTAATTTTGCCTGAATTTCTGTGTGAGGTGAGATTGTTGAGGTTCACTTTGTATGTCTATGTATAATTGTTTCAACAATATTTTTTTTGAAGACAGAATCTTTTCTCCAGTGCATTGATTTTGCCACTGAGTCCCAAAGCACAAATTAGCTGGGTTTGTGTGAGTCTCTATCTGGACTCTCTTCTGTCTATCCCTTCTCCACAACTCTACTGTGATTGTCAGTGTATAGTACATCTTAAAATCAAATAGAGTTTTCCCCAACTTTGTTCTTTCCCCGATTTGTTTTAGTGATTCTAGTTTCTTTCGATACATAACATAGATTTTAGAATCAGCTGGTTTCTATCTTCAAACATCTCACTGGAATTTTGATGAGAAATTTGCGTTAACTTGGAGAGAATTGACATCTGTACTGTGTTGAGTTCTCTATCTGTGTATATAGTATGCCTTTTCTTTTATTTAGATTTTCTTTTTATTTATTATTTTAATGTTCTATAATAAGTTTATAGCACATGCATTCTGTGCATATTTCTTTTAAGTTTATTTGTAAGTATTGGTTTAGGACCAATATTATTATTAAGAGCTATATATTTTATTGTTCAGAGTAAATGCTATTGTGTTTTACATTTTGGTTTTATATTGTTAATGCTAGTATATGGAAATATGTTGATTTTAGTGTGTCAACATAGTGTTTTTGGATATCACTAAACTTACTACTTAGTTTTATGACTGGACCTTTCATGTTGTGTATGTGTGTGGGTTCCTTGAAATTTTATTCATTGACAATCACATCACCTATAAATAGTAATAGTTTTATTTCTTCCTGTCCAAGTGAAAGGACAGGAAGAAATAAATTTATTTCTTTTTCTTGTCTTATTGCACTTACATCTTGAATAGGAGTGGTAAGAGCAGAAATGTTATTATTCTTCCAAATCTTATAGAGAATCATTCAGTCTTTCATTCTGAAGTATGATGTTAGTCATAGCTTTTCTATAGTTGTTCTTTAACAATTCAAGGTAGTTCTTTTGTATTCCCATCTTTTGGAGATTTTTTTTTTAATCATGAATGAATGTTTAATATTTTTTTAAATGGTTGGTCTGCATCAGTTGATAAGATTATGTAGTCTTTATTATTTAAATATTCAATATACATAACTTAATGAATATAATCTTTAGCTGTCATGAAACCAAACTCTACTATTTTGGATGATATTGATGAATTTTTTTTAAAATAAGAAACTAGCCTTACATTCCTATAATAAATACTTCTCAGGTTTTTTTTGATTGATGAATTTGATGCAAATTTCTTTTGAAACATTCTATAACTATGTGGGATTTTGCTGAATTAAAGATGGTGGATCAGAGGAAGTCTGCATTTCCAGTTGTTCTGTGGCTCTGGATTCAAGCACGGGGAATATAGCTTCTCAGTGATGTGACTGAAAGAGGGAATTCACTGAAATTCAATAGTGTACAGTCAGAGTCTCTCAGAGACTCAGAAATTTGGCTTCATTGAACAAATAACAGAAGTACATCAAAGACACTCCAGCTGACACAGCAGCAGCAGCGCTGGTTTACCGCAAAGGGGAGGGATAACACAAACAGAAAAAAACACAAAACACAAAGGACAAATTTGGTACAGAAAAACTTGCAGATCAGAAAATCATCCTGAACTTAGTTGGTCCAGAGACTACACAGTGAACTAGGTGTTTGAAAAACGTCCTGCATTTCTCAACTGGCAAGTGAAGAACTGAGGTGGGAGCCATCTTGAGAAGGTCATGCTGCAACTTGCTGCTGTGGGTGTATGAAAGACAATTTAGCAACTGCTACCATCCTGTCCTCGAAGCATCTGCAGTGTGACCGAGGGTGTACCCAGCAGAATGTGAAACAGGAAGAGAGAAAATTGTACACAGAAGGTTCATAGCAGCAAAATGGGAGTAGACTTTGCTTTCCCTTTAAGTCTGGTGGCTCACAAGTCCAGCTGAAGAAGCTCAGTAAACTGAACAGGTAAGTGTGAATGGACTCGGGGAGGAAGCCTGGGAAGGCTGGATTCACAGGCAGCAGAGTGTGTGGAGGGTTAGCTTCCTGCCTCACGAATAGAATTCTTGGAGATTCAGACTCTCAACAGAAGTCGGTATCTGCTTGGGTGTGGGGTTCTCATCTCTCCAGGGGAGATACCGCTCAGCAAAGCCCCTAAAGTCTGATTAAATGTAATCCCCAGCTGCTAGAGTTCCCTTCTTAGAATTCTGAAGCTCTGAGTGTGTCCATCTGGTCTATTTGGACAGAAGTCCAGTAGAAAGTACTTCCCCTTCCGTCCTACTTTATAAGTAGAAGGGAACCCAGAACTTTTTCAGCCAGTTTCAGTTTTAGGCCTTTCCAACTGACAACTTGGTGAAAAACACAAAAAGAGGAAGGGGAATAACACCCCCCAGTGCTTGTGCATCAGTCCCCAGCCCCCACCTCATCCCTGCCTCTATACATAGCTCAAGAAGAAATGGAAAAGACAGCTGGGCATAGGCAGTGACCATTCATCTTTATGGACTGTTTTGACCACCTCAGTGGAGATGATTGTTTCATTTCTTATTAAAAGCCCCCCCCACACACACACACACTTTTTATGCTGTTCTTGCTGTGTTGATTGGTTTCTGGGTATATATACACATACAGATTTGTTTCTTGTTTCTCATTTTTAGCATTTTTATCATGGTGACTTTTCATTGTCTCTTGAGGGTTAAGGTTTTTGGTTTGTTTATACTGGTTTTGTTTTGTTTTTGTTTGTTTCTCTTTCTCTCCTTTCTTCTCCCACTAAGAGCCAAATTCTTGTTTTCTTTCTTTCCCCTGTTATATTTTTTTCTCTATTTTTCTCCTCCTTCTTGAAAACCACTTTCTACTTCTCTTCTGCATTGTCTCTGTTCATGCTTTGAACATTCTAGACTTTCTTCTTTCTGGAATTTTCTTTTCTCCCAATAAATGTATTTTACCATCTTTTAGAAATCCTGCTCACACCATTCATGTGCGAATGTACTGCTGTAGTTAGTAGTACTGTGGAAGTTGTAGTTGACACCTGGTGTTTACTTTAATGTAATATAGTCCACGGCTATTTACTGTTTTTGCTGATGGCAACCTCTGGCCACACTATGGCTGTTTTTGTGGTAATTAGTGTTGTAGATGTTATAGTAAGCACCAGGTATTTATTTTAACACTGTATATTGTTTGTTTTGGTTGTTGCTATTATTTGTTTCCCTCTATTTTTGTGAGGTGCCGGAATCTAAGAGACAATACATGTTCACAGGGAAGAGTCTCTGCTGCTGAACTAAACACAGTCAAAAGATCATTCACTTTGCTCCACACACAAATTAACAACATTAAAACTTCAGCTAAGTTTTAATACAAATAATATAAAAAACAAAAACCTCATACTAATGACCAGACACCAAGTAGGAATGGCTATGAGGAGCCCTCAAGTCCCAATCATGGACAAACACTCCTACAGGGAAAAAAAATTATTGATGAGTTCTAGGAGAACACAGAAAACAAGTGAACAAATTAAGGAAGACAGTACAGAATATGAATGAGAAATTTTAAAAAAGATATATGCTAAAAATGAACCAAACAGAAATCTTGAAAATGAAAGACAATAAATCATATAAAATATTATTTTGAAAGTCACTCTTAAAGAGAGAGAGAGACATGCTGAAGACAAAATCTCAGAGCTGGAAGACAAAATGGTCAGCCTTGAATATTCAGATGGTATTCAAGAAAAGAAAAAAAAGTAACCATGACCAGAA